TAGGAAGAGTTTTGTGCAACTGACCGAGTTATGGTGTCTAAGAACGTCAAATTTTAGATGTAAATGGAAGGTAGACGAAGAAGAGAGCGTATTTTAACAGATAATAGCTGTTCAAAATTGGATACTTTTATAGCATTCAGAAAGCACGAAGTAGAGCGTTACTTTCACATTGTTTGTGGCTAAGAGACAAGGCAGAAGGCAGCGGTGAAAGGGAAGTAGCTGTTAGGAGTAAAGTACTTGCTACATCCGTGAGGTTCCAACCTGCGATTTATCTATAACTAATTTTTACTTTAATTGTTTTTACAATGATTCAGTGGCTTGATGCTCTATTTCGTTCCCTTCCTTAGTGTGACACACTGATAGAAAAAGGAATCTTCTTAGTCAGGAAATTTGAACGACAGACAACCCTAGTGACTGCATCAATTTTGATTCTACATTTTCTTGCAGAAATAACGGTTATTTTGAAGGTTATCTGTTTATAGCATCGCAGATCAGCACTGGGTGAATGATATCTATTTTGTTGCAGAATATATTTGTTAAAAATTTGATCTATTCTAGACACCAAAAAACTTGGCAGCAAAAAGAAAAAAAGAAAGAGGCACAAGCTTTTTGATTTCTCGGCCGCTATCAGTCATTATCAATGGTCACTTTAGTGTTGATATATACATGTTTTTTAAGTGCAGAATTTAGTCTAAGCAAATAATTTTCTGAAAACAATAACTGCATGTCATCACCAACACCACTGAGTAACAGACAATAAAAAACTTTTCAATTATTCATTGATGGTTCCGCAAATAGATTTAATTGAATACAGCATAAGGATTCTAACTTTCTATTCTTTTTTGAAATTTTCAATACAAACGTACTTTGTTTGTAGGTAATAAATTTGTCACCCAATAGTCATTTTTTTCAAAGGAAAGAATATATATACTTTCTATACAAAATAACCTTATTTTAGGATCGATTAGAAGGCTGGAAACGTTTTGCTCAAGAATTAACACGAATAATACAAAGCATAATTGAGTTTGCAAAATTAGTGCATGGTTTTTCATCTCTTGGCCAAGAGGAGCAGATAACTCTGCTAAAAGGAGGTGTTTTTGAGTTGGCAACAATTGTCGTATCACAATTTTATGATATTGATTCCCAGTCATTGATCCTGAACCGTGAAATTATCCCAATTACGGTGTTCCAGCCAAATGATCAAGCTGAAATGCAATTTGTTCTTGCGGTTAGTTTTTGAATCCTTAACCTTACATATCTTTCAACGTAACAAAATCATCATTACAAGATTGTCCTGAGTTTTTTTCCTAGCAATTTTGTCGTTTAAAATCATTTTTATCACTGTAGATGCATAGCTGTATACATGAATTTGCGCAACTTCGCTTAACATCAACTGAGTTAGCTTTACTATCTGCTTGGATATTGTTAGAACGATCCTCTTCTGGCACATATCTGGTGGAGCAACTGAGGAATTGTTTACAAGAACGACTGTCTTCTCGGGTAAGCCTTGTATTTTTTTTTTTTGTTACTCCTTACATTCACTTTTAGCTTGCATGATTAGTATTCTGATTAAGCGGTATATAAGGACTAGAAAACTATAAAAAGTGTATTTTAGCCTCAACCAATTGATGCTGTTAGTGTGATAAATACACTTGTGGAATTGATCGCACGGTTACGTTTGTTGGCCCAAGATCATATACAGCTGTTGGCACGTTTAGCTAGTATATATCCACAAGTTTTTGAACGCGGTACATTACCGGAGCTTTATAAGGAACTTTTTACATTAACGAGTTAATAAAATGATTTTATTTTGTAATTTTTTTTTTCACTCGCTTTTATACCATTTTTCTCATGCTGTGCATATTTTGCATTTATATTTTTACTGTTTTTTATCACTTAGTTAAACGGTATATATATATAGATTTTTGTTGGCGATTATATCGTTGTTTTTTTTTCTTTATGTTAGTTCTATCGTTTTTTTCTTCTCTTGATTATTTTTTAGAAAATAAGACAAAGGAACAGAAAAAGGGTTAGTTACAAATACGCTACCAAAAGGCTGCCAAAAATAAAAAAAAAAGTTTGTCAACTGTCGATACTTTTTTTTGTATTTATTTTCAATTTGTTTTTTGTTTTTTTTCGTCTTTATTGCTGCCACGGTTATTCCATCATTTGCTTCTTCTTTTTCTTCTACTTCTACTTCTACTTTTTTTTT